CAGTACTCCAACTGCGGCCTGACCAAAGTCGCATAGAGGGGGAGTATCACCTCTCTGGACTGGCTTGAGATGCAGCTTTGGATGCATGACAAGGTATGTCTGGCCTTGCTGGCTGCAGTCTGGCATTGGTGGCTCATGTTTATCTTGGAGTCAATAATTACTCCAAGATCCCGTTCTGTCTCTGTGCTTTCAAGAGGGAAACTCCCCAGCCTGTATGTATGCTGTGGACTCCTTCTCCCAAGGTGCAGTACCCTGCATTTATCTACATTGAACCCCATCCTATTATCATCTGCCCACTTTTGTAGTCTGTCAAAATCTATTTGCAGCCTCTCTCTCTCTTCAAGTGTGTCCACCTTGCCCCACATCTTAGTGTCATCAGCAAACTTGGACAGCATGCTTTCCACCCCCTTGTCCAAGTCGCTGATTAACATGTTAAACAGTGTGGGCCCGAGGACTGAGCCCTGGGGTACCCCACTGCTTACATCTCACCAGGTTGAGTACAACCCATCCACCACTACTCTCTGGGTGCGCCCCATCAGCCAGTTTTTTACCCATCCAACTGTGTAGGCATCAGTGCCACAGTCACTTAATTTATTGATGAGGATGGGGTAAGAGACAGTGTCAAAGGTCTTCTTAAAGTCTAGAAAGACTATGTCCCCGGCAACACCATCATCCAGATGTTGGTTTTGTTTGTTTTTTAATGTCTGCAAGCAGCCTTCCGGGAGGACTTGCTCTTTCACAGGCAACCACAACCCTGGAACAGTCTTTTTTTTCTGCCTTTCAAAAAGAAGGTGCATGGGAACACATGCAGTGTAGAAAAAATGCAGCCTAATACTTGTCTGGAGACCCAGCAGATTTCGGGGTACTTTTATGCTAGCCTGAGTAAAACACAGGTTGTAAGTTCTTTTTGAGGCAGAGATTCTTACTAACTAAACAAGATCCGCAAAGGTGGGAGTAGTAGCATAGGTGAAATTACCTGTCCAAAGTAAGGCAGCAGAGCTGAACCCAAAGTGCTCTATTCCCTGGACCACACCAGTTAAGCCTGCTTTTGAGAGAACTCTTCAAAATCGTCTGAGTACAATAAGAAAAAAAAGTGCTATTAGATCATACTGTACGAGAAGGTATATTTTTTGGCTGTAGTAGAGAGTGCAGCTGATCAGTTTGGGCTGACTCTTGTTTGTGTCACAGTGAGAGGAGAGAATAGAGTTGTAATGCCCTCCTTGTATGCATCTCCCCCTCCTCTCCAATCTCAGGCTCACAAAATGTACTGATCTTGCTGTTTTCACTTTAATCTGGTATTATAGAGTTTTCCTTCTACAGAATTACTGGAGGTACAGGGATTGAAGAGGACATTGATGTAGGATTTGTGATTTGCAAAAATTACTTTATCAGTTTCTCAGGTTGCATTTTGTAGGTTGTCAGATGAGATCATAACGGTCCTTTTTGAGTAGAGAGAAGCAAATATTTGTTCCCTGATGGAACAAAAGAAAACTACCACAAAATGTTTATCTTGCACAAAGTTCTTAATTTTGGTATTCTGGGTTTGTTGTTCGAAGGCTAATCTTTGTCTAAATTAAGCCATCTGCTGAAAAATTAAGTCCTCAAACTTTGTGATCTGTATTGTGAAATTTACATCTAATACCAAACTAAACAGATTTGAGACAATGGTGTAGGAAAGCCTGGTTAAGGATGGTGGAAATTTAATGGAAGAAAGGCAGATGGTTCTAGGCATAGAGCAACATGCTAGAGAGAAAGTACACAATGAAGGGACACAGACCCTTACCAAACTTGGTAAGACTATTTGGAGGAGCCTAGGGAACAGGATGTTAATTCACCTTGATTGCTAATGAAAAACTAAGTAACCTGTAGATCTGCTGTAGATAGGAGAAGAAAAAGAGAGTAGATCTTTTAGGTGAGCTGTATGAATCTCTTGTAATAAGATGAGAGGCTAGGAGATAGATTGTCAATGATGACTCAAATTGTAGCTGGTATTTGTGAATGAACTCATAGCTCTGCAGCTTTGCTGGAAGGCTACAATAATTTTTTTTTTTCAGATAACATTCTGATCTGCTCAAAGGTGCTTGCGGCAGTAGCAAATGATATATCATTCTAGCAAATGATCATTGAGAAACGAATTTTATGAATGAGTAAAGAGATCAAGATCTCCGGGAAAAGGAGTTTGCCATTAGGATCTCCCTGTATGTAATGTCTCTTGATATAAGGCAGAATATATTAGTGGACCCCCAGAGTCTGGTATGGTATATCTGCTTAATAAACTGTAAGAGATCACTTGACATAATCCTTCAGTGCACCTCTTTTTTTAGTAGTGCAACGCCTTGCATTAGAAAAGATGTGCTTCACCAACTCGGGTCTGAAATCTCTGGAAGTATAGTGCTTGGAATATGCTTGAGGCAAGGTATGCTTCAGAAAGAAGAGTAAGTGGTGGCAAATCCTAGCTTGGTTAATATGCTTCTACAGAGAAAAGTGACAAAGTGTGAATGACATTTCTTTAATAACCAGATCTAATTCATGCATATGCACAAACCTGGCTGACTTCATGAGAACACTTTCACTTTGAGCCCTGCAGATTTAACTTAGCTAAGATTCAGTCATTGGATTTTGTTTTTTCTTGTGTATTTCCAGCAGATGGCTTAACTCCAATGTCGTTTTCCATAATTGAGTATTTTGGTTTCCTTGTTGTTATGCCTAGGGCATGGATGCACATACCCGTGCATGCACACAGAAAAAGCAGAGGCACAATATATAGCCCTGTTTTGGTACTGAATAACCATGGGTAAAACTACATTGTGTACTGTCTCAGACGGCCAGAGCCGACTCGAGGTGATTTAGAAATTGCTCGTTCGTCAGGGCGGGCTGGTGAATGGAGAGGCAGACAAGGTTTAATGGTTGCAAAAACGTTTACTTACGCCGCCTGTAGCAGATGGTCCGGTCGTCTGAACAACCACGTGGGTTGTTCCAGCTGGCGGGGCCCAAGCCAGTTAATCCGTCCGCAAATCAAGCCGGCGGGAAAAGGGTACGTCTGGGATTGCGCTTGGCGACGGGAAGAAAGATCGATAGGTGATCAGTCTATCGATCAGCTAGCCGCAAGTCAGATCTCTTTAGAGGGACTCTGCAGCGTGCTCAAAGTTCTTCGACTTGGGCGGAAGTCGCACGAAATTTTAAACGGCCAGCTAGCCAATTACTAGCCGCTACGTAGGAATAATTTAGCACTGGCCAATAGCGGGACACAAATTTGCATTCGAATAGCGGGAACTCTTTGCACCGTGCATTTCTGTGCTGCAAGGAAGAAATGTATCCTGCAAATTGGCGGGAAGTCTCTTGCACCGAGGTTCTTCTGCTACAACAGAAAACCTTTATTGTGCAAGAGGCTCTCATGTGGCAAGGAAATTCCACCGTGCCGAGGCACCAAAATCACTGGGTTGTGACACACAGAAATGAATTTTCATTTAGAAATTCTGTAGCCCATAGGGAAATCCCTGGTAGGCATCATTAGAATCCTCTTACTAGTCTCTGTTCTTGCTGGCTTTGTTTGCTTTTACTGGAGTACCAGATATCCCAGGAATCAGGAGACCCAGATTCTTTGCCATTACCCAGGGAGATCAATAGACCCATGATTTTGTTCCAAAGTCTAGCTGCCAACTGGAAGCAGATGAAAAACCCAAATTAGAATTCCTAATAGGGTCTACTACACAGAATGATGGCAGACCTTGTTTATTTTTTCTAATTTTCATAAATGTCTAGCAGCATATGTTTCCACAAAGAATTTACTTTTACAATCTCTAGTCTGAATTTACTCCCACAACTTATGTTAACGGTAATGTCAATCAGTGGGAAGAGGTATGTGTCTTTAGAGTTTTGTTATTTTCAGTGCTGCAATCACAAATTAGCAAAGTAAACTGATATGGCAATTACTAGCATCTCTTTGTAACAAGAAAAATATACTGTATACTATGGACAAGGAAGCATGCAAACAAGAGGGAACAAGATCTGCAGTAACTGTACACCTTCTTCAATTTGATGTCAGTTTAATTGGGTTTAAATTTTTGATGAGACAACAAGCATCAAAGGAAAGTCATTTTGATTTACCTCTGTAAGAAAGTTGCCAGCTATAAAATGGTTTATAAAACACAGCTGAAAACTTAGCACACTGGTTGGAAGTTTAAAACCAAATTATTTCCTCTGGGTAAAGGACCTATGCTGAGAACATAATGTTTTGCAAAATGTTTGAGTTACTGACATTTTCTCTCAGTTTTGGGGCTGTTTTTGTACTCACTGTCCAGATCTTTTGCAGTTGTTCAAGAGCACCAGAAACTCCTGGAAACAAGGGCTGACCTTGCAACATTTCCACAAATATACAGCCAGCACTCCTATAAAAATGAAATATTAAAATGAACATTATCTGTAGTACATACTTGGGCAAAAAAAAGTCTATCGTCTAATGTGTTGATTTGTGTGTAGAAATGAAGTCTAATAAAATACTGGGATTCAGTGGTAGGCAGTATTGTAGTTGTGGCTTCAGCACTTACCCAGGGGTATTTTAAAATAAATTCAGAGGGGCTCAGTTGTGGCTCTGGGACACAGACGAGTCACACCATTCCAGAAGCATGTCAGGAGGTGCTGTGTCAGAGAGGGGGTTTTTTCAGAGGCAATTAAATTCACTACTGCAAAACTGAGTATGACAATTATAAATGTACAATTTTCCAAGAATCATTCAACTTATTTTATTTGAAGGTATACCATGTATTTTCTCTAATGTGACACTACCAGATAAAAGTATTGTAAAATTCCAGTTCTGATGTAGAGAAGCAGTATTTTCCTCTCAGTGCTATCTCTGACTAGGAAGATCTACCCAATTAATTTTAGTGTAGGCTAAATTACAGTTGTTCTGTAACTTTGGGTGTCTTTACACATGCTCCGGGGTGGAGGATGCTTTACTTAGAGTGGCTCTTGGGAGCAACTTTAATTCAAGTGCACGTAGCGTCTTGTATATTCAACATCCTGCACTTCAAAATTGGCAGCGGGGGTGCTTTAACTAAAGTTTGTTCAATGAATACATGTGATGCTGAGGCTCCTAGAATATGCTAATTAGCTCCAGTAGATAGGATTCATTGAGTCTGCTCTGATGTGCTAATTAGCACGCATCAGAGCAGACGTTGGGCACATGTATAGATCCCCTTTATGAATAAGCAGAAGTGTTGCTTCTGTTACAGATCATAGTGCAATGAAGTCCTCTATTGGTTTTCTCTGTCCCTCATGTTTTCTTCTGAGGACAATATTTTCTAGCTATTTTTGTTTTTATCTGACACACATTGGATTGTAACACAAAAGGACTTATGCTTGTAAAATTAAACCGATCCTTTATTAAGAGAACTGTTTACAGAGATGTTGCAACAATAGTTTATATTCATGCCATGTACAGACACTCTGACCTTGTGGTGCATCCTCCAAACTCTTCCCTCCTGCAATCTGTGCTTCTCCTCAGACAAGGTCCATGTGGGTTGCTACACTTTGTTCTTTCTGTAATGCTATCCACCTTCATTTCTGATATTTCATTTTTAGCTACCTTTACCAGTCACTTCAACTCTTTTTCCTCTCTTTATATATTAATTCTCAGTTTTGATCTGACCTGAGAAGAATCTTATGTGAACTTTCTTTCCCTTTCTCTACAGAAGCAGTTTTCCCCCTTCTAGATAACCATCTCTAGGGACAGAACTAGAAAAGTTCAGAAGCTCTCCCATTAGTATGCTAACTGCTTTACTTCCATCCATCAGATCACAAACTTGGCATCAGATGGGCCATCAGCTTGTCCTAAAGCCAAATTATTTTTGTTCGAGTAAGTGTTCAGCCACTCTCCTACTCCTCCCATCCAAGATGCATCCCAATATTTTAGTTCCCTGTGACAGTAACTTTGTCTCAATTATTTGGATGGTTCCCTTTGTACATTTTGGGACAAAGATAGATTTGTGCCAATATTCAGGAATTCTTTTGTCTTGCCATGCAGCTTTAACTATTTGGCTGATCCATGCCTCTCACCCAAAGCTTTTACCATGTCTGCCATCACTGCATCAGGTCCCACTGTCTTGTCATTCTGGACTGTATCTCTAACCTCATCCTCTGTTATTTCAGACCCATGTTCCACATTAGGATGACAGCTTGGCAACTCCGCCAAAAGGGATTTGCATCAGTTATCAGATTTCAAATACTGTTTCTGCCTCATGTTCATTTGGTCTTGATTTGCTTTAGCAATCTCCCACAGACATCATTAGGGATCCTGGTTTTCCATTCACCGCAGAAAAACATGGTAAAACCTGGATTTTCTCATTTTCAGGAGAAAAACCCGGATTTTCTCCTTTAAATGAGAAAAATGGAGGAAATGGTGGGTTTCCCTTTGCAGGCTGGCAGAGTTCCAGCCTGCAAGGCGCTGGGGAAAGCTGGAGAAGGATGATCAGCAGGGGGTGCCATGCAGCCTGGAGAGCAGCTCCTGCAGGTAAGTCTGGCAGGTGGGGGTGCGAATTGAGGCCCCCATAGTGAGGGTGGGACCTGGTGACCGTCTATAAACTCACTAGGGGGAACCAGAAGGGTTTGGGGGAGATGCTGTTTCCCCTAGCCCCCGCTGGCATAACAAGGAGTAATGGGCACAAGTTGATGGAGAGGAGGTACAGATTGGACATCCGAAAAAACTACTTCACAGTTAGGGCGGCTAGGATCTGGAACCAACTTCCAAGGGAGGTGGTGCTGGCCCCTACCCTGGGGGTCTTTAAGAAGAGGCTGGATGCCTACCTGGCTGGACTCATTTGAGTCCCGTTTTTGTTTTTAGGGTTTTTTGTTGTTCTCCCGCCCTGGCGGGGGGTCGGGCTAGAAGATCTATTAGGTCCCTTCCGACCCTAAAACTATGAAACTATGAAACTATGAAGGAGGGAGTTGGGCAGGGCTAGGGATACTGCCCAGCTTGGGTGGTGTGTGGGGCTTGGGGTCTGGGGCTGGAATGCATGGCCACAGGGCCTAGGAGGAGAGCGGGACAGGGCCATGGGCAGCTTGTTCAGGAGGGCTGCAGGGTGGGGCTGGCTCCCCACCACTGCGTACACTCCTGGGAGGGGCATGGGAGGCACGTGTCCCCCAGATTTGTGCATGGGGGGGATGGGGGCTGGCCGCTGCAGGCTCAGGCTCCTCACCCTGCTACCCTTCCCCTGGGGCCTCTGTAGCCCAGCGGGCAGGACTTGGCATGGCAGACAGAGTGGGGCGGAGAAGCTCAGTGCCACCGCAGTGAGATCCACACTGCCATGGTGAGGTGCCCCCTGTTCGCCCGGCAGCAGTGGGGGTGGTGGCGCAGAGTTGTGCCACTCTCTGCTGCTGGATGGGCAGGGAGTACCTCACCGTGGCAGCCTGGGGCTCCCAGCAGCAGTAACAAGCTTCCCCACTCTGCCCTGCCATGCCAGGTCCTGCTGGCTGGGCTGTGGAGGCTCTGGGGGGAGGGCAACGGGGCAGGGAGCCCAAGCCCTCAGAGCCAGCCCACACCCCACTCCCCAACAGGCTCCACTCTGTCTGTCACCCATGGGGGAGGGGGAGCCGGGCTCCACACTGCTCCATTGCAGCAGCTGCTGCCTCCCACGGGTGGCAGCTGGGGTTTGGGTGCTGCTGCTGGGGGCTAGGGGGCTGTGGACCTGGGTCTCTGGCCCTGTAGCCATGGCAGCTGGGGGCTCCCTCTGGCAGGACTTCCAAGCGGACCCAGAGGAGGAGGCGACGAGTGCTCGTCATAGGCGACTCCATCCTGAGAGGTACGGAAGGGCCCATCTGTCACCAGGACCCCTCAACACGAGAGGTATACTGCCTGCCCGGAGCAAAGATTCGGGATGTGACAGAGGTAATCCAGGCCAGGATCAAGCCCACCGATTACTATCCCATGGTCCTAGTCCATGTGGGTACTAATGATGCGGCCAGGAGAACCCCTGATCACCTGATGGCGGACTACAGTGCTCTGGGCGGCGTGCTGAGGGAGTTCGGTGCACAGGTGGTATTCTCTTCCATCCTACCAGTGAACGGACGCAGAAGACGGCATGAGAACTGCATCCGAGAGACCAACTGGTGGCTTCGGCAGTGGTGTCTTGAGGCAGGCTTCGGCTTCCTGGACAACAACCCGCACATCAC